AGGTCTTAGCCAGCAGTCGTTGTTTATTGAAAAATCATTAACAAAAGAATTTCACAATTTTAATATTTTTTATTTCTAGGGATTTGCATTCAAGGTATCAATCAAGGAATTTGTTCACTTTTCACGAAAAAAAATTACATAATCGATCCTTTGATTTTATTATTTTTCAATTATGCGAGGTCGGTAAAAGAAGACCGATCGTCAGATAGGCAACCCGACTTACCGATCTGTATGTTGCGGAAGCACCCTGTATATATATATATATATATATATATATATATATATATATATATATATATATATATATATATTGTAAGTGTACACTATTTTTCAGTGATAATACACTGATTCACTTTTAGAGAGTGCTTTATTCGACAACACTATTAAATATATTATTATGCTAAGAAAAAGACGTCAAAATATGGTACATTTTATGACGTCTGTGGCGTCCCTGACGCTCGCCACATCGAGCGCGATCTCAGGAAGCGCCGACCTGACGCTCGCCACATCGAGCACGTTCTCGGGAAGCGCTGACTAGAATCATGAAGTTGGCGCAACATCAGTTTTAATTAATGCCGCTGAAGGCGCGGCAGATTAAGATAATTTTCTCGCTATCGGAAAACATTGAAAAGTGTATATAAGAAGATGCGGTCAACGACTTATCAATCACTTGTAACCTCGCAATAAATAGCTTATAGCTATTCAGCGAATTCTCTTTTGACCCTTGTGATTATTCTCTCCTCCGAGACCTTCCAGATCTACGAGATCCACGAGATCTCCAGATCTTCCAGAATCTCGAGTCATCCAGATCTTCGAGAACCTCGAGTCCTCCAGATCCTCTAGATCATCGAGATCCTTGAGTCCTCAAGATCCTCTAGACCTTCAAGAACCTCGAGATACCATAGATCTTTGCAGCAAACCTGGTTGTTCCAAGCTTTACGATAGCCGTCTCTACCAGACCAAACGTAGAGTCCGCTGTGCACACCAACTGCACAGTGACCGGCGCGAGCACGTGGAACATTTTCCTCCAGAGAATCGACAGTCAATTGCTCCCAAGTTAGAGTTTCTAGATTCAAGCATGCTAGTGTACTTGTGCATTTCCACTCTTTCTCATGCGTCGCGACTTTAACATCATCGACGACCAATGGCACCCATCCCCCGAATACGTACATGCGATGACCGATCAAAGTGGCAGTATGTAGTGATCGTGGTAGAGGGGTGGGTCCATGGACCATTGGTTTGTTCCAAGTTATCGAATTGACATCGAGGAACCACAAATCACCCAAACGACAACCGCTCATACCACCGTAAATCACCAGACAGGATTTACCCGTCGTACGATCGGTGTAGGCGACTCCAGTGTGAGATTCTCTGGGGGGTGGCGCATGTCCATGCGTCTGCAGCACATCCCAGGCTGTTTGGCCATTGGGAAGAAGCTCGAGAGTATACAGATCGTTCAGATATCTCGGTATATTGTTCTTCGGGTCACCGCTGTCGTTCGCGAGACCTCCAAAGAGGAAGACCCTGTTGCCGATAAGAGTGAAACTGTGTCCCAATCGCGGACACGGAGGTGGCTCGTGTTTAGGCGGCTTCGGCTTCAAGCGTTTCCATTCCCATCGGCTCGCTTGGAGCTCGTACAGCTCGTTGGAGTACTTCATATTCCACCATTCCGCCAAAGACCAGGATACGTGTGCCGTCGACGACAAATCCGTATGCCGCGCAACCTGGCGGGATATCTCCCTTTGTGGATGGCACGAACCATTGGTTTGTGGCCGTGTTGTATACGTGTAGCTCGTCGACGAGTGCCCTCGTTACCGCCGCCGAAGACCACCATGAGGTCCTTGATGGCAACGCGCCCGTCCTGTTACCGCTTGTTGCCGACGCGAGAGTTGTGTGCAATGATGGACGAGGTTCTCGAAGGCCGCTCGTGCGCCTTCCCGTCAATTTCCCGAGCAATCCGTCTGTTTCTCCGACAAGCACGACGCTCATCACTCGTCGCGTTTTTTGCTTCGGTTTGAGTTCCCCTAGATTTTCTATTGGAGGAACGAGGAGTCCTTGGTGGAGATGCTCTAGGAGTCACCGGGATGGGAGAAAATCTTCGAGAGAATCTTCTTTCGACCAGGTCTATTGGTATAAGTTTCCAGGGAAGAAACTGGATAACTTTCCGAGGGTCAGTGGCCATAGAGGAAGATCTCCGAAGATCTGGACGGTCTAGTAGATCTGGATGGTCTAGTAGATCTGGAAGATCTTGGAGATCTTGAAGATCTAGTAGGTCTCGGAGGTATTGATGGTCTGGAAGATTAGGCAGGATCTGGACGTCTCGAGGATTTAGAAGGTCTGGAGGATCTTGAAGACTCGAGAGTCTGAAGGATCTGGGAGACTCGAGGTTCTTGAAGGTCTAGAGGATCTTGAGGACTCGAGGATCTCGATGATCTGGAGGACTCGAGGTTCTCGAAGATCTGGAGGATCTGGATGACTCGAGGTTCTCGAAGATCTGGAGGATCTGGAGGACTCGAGGTTCTCGAAGATTTGGATGACTCGAGGTTCTGGAAGATCTGGAGATCTCGTGGATCTCGTAGATCTGGAAGGTCTCGGAGGATCTCGGAGGAGAGAATAATCACAAGGGTCAAAAGAGAATTCGCTGAATAGCTATAAGCTATTTATTGCGAGGTTACAAGTGATTGATAAGTCGTTGACCGAATCTTCTTATATACACTTTTCAATGTTTTCCGATAGCGAGAAAATTATCTTAATCTGCCGCGCCTTTCAGCGGCATTAATTAAAACTGATGTTGCGCCAACTTCATGATTCTAGTCAGCGCTTCCCGAGAACGTGCTCGATGTGGCGAGCGTCAGGTCGGCGCTTCCTGAGATCGCGCTCGATGTGGCGAGCGTCAGGGACGCCACAACGTCAAAATGCGGTACATGTTATGTAGTGACAGCAGTTATAAGTATAGCATTGTAAATCAGTAATATTTTACTGAATCAGTTAATAATTTTGACTATTTTAATCAGTAATATTTCTTTCGTTTGCCAGTAATATTAAACTACAATTCATCTCTCTATCTATTTCATAAATATAATATAAATGTAATAAATATAAAAATAAATAAATATATGTAAATATAAATAAATAAATATAAAATAAAATATTTTATTTATATTTACTAAATATTTATTATATTAAAAATTTTATTTTATTTATATTACAAGTATATTGAACTTGTTATTTTAAATAGATAATGAATGAATAATTTTTATCAAGTAGCTAGACATTTATTTGTCCGACTTATAAAGATCGATTTAATATTTAAAGCCTCTCATTGAGATTGTATCAGAAATTAAATCGAAGTAATATTTCTTATTTTATCTGTCACTCTTTGCAAATTTTACATAATTCTTATGATACTACTATATATAATTCTATTACTAAAACTAAATATGAGAGAGATAACGATCATAGCGGTAAATGAACGAACTAGCGATTATTGGTTTTACAGTGAATTTTACTTTAACAATTGTTAAAGTCTGATCGCGAAAGATCATATTATATAAAAAATTTTAAAAGATTTTTTTATGGAATTGATATATCAATTAATGACATTAATAATAAAATAATCGTCACTTCATGACTGAAAAATGACGTCAAAATAATGTTATATCAAAACGTCAATATAAAATCATGTCATAAATCAGTCATTTTAATGACATATGACCAAAAATGACCAGTTTGGAATGTCAAAATGACGTGTGCTTGCTACCTGGGATATATGTAAATTTTACAAAAAAATGTGAAATCCCTCCAAAAAAACCTTACTAAGGTAAAAAAATACATAAAAAGTACATAAAAAGTATTCCACCTTGTATCCAACAAGACGTTTATAAAAAAATATCCCTAAAAATAATTTATAATAAAAATTTTCTCTCAAAAAATATATATTTTTCCTAAAAAAAATCAAAATTAAATATGAAATCAATAATTAATTAGCCAAGTATATTGAAGCAATTGATAGAGATTTGTAATTTGAAATATTTGTCACAAATTCAATCTTGCATTTATGTATTAGATTCTCGACAAAATGAAAATAATTTTCAAAATAAGTTTAATACTTTGTATGATATATAAAAATGCATTATTATGTATGATCCAAATAAATATTTGTACAATATATGAAATAGCATTAATATATTGCGAATTTTATATTACAGATTATAAATAGTAAGTCATAAAACTATTCAACACTTACTGCAATAACATCGATTGCATTAATCGCCAATTTTGAATTTAAAAGAGAAAAAATCGACTTGTTTTAAGATCATAAGATTTACTATGTAGACCTGGAACTAAAGGATTTAAGAAGTTACATATAAAAATTTGGTCCGAGTCGTATTATAATTTACACATTTTTATTATTAGGAAATATTTAATTTTGAAATTAATCATAAGTTTTGCCAAGTAAATTTGGAACTAAAAAATTAAGATCAAAACGACTTACAAAAACTTGGCGTGCTCGGGTCACGTTATAATACACATAATTTTACAAAGTTTGCGAATTATATACCTGTAATTAATTTCAATTATAGAAATATGTATAACAACATTCTCACATTATTAATCATATATAATAATATATAATAATATATAATATATTAATCATATATAATCAATATGGGACGAGGCATTAGTTTTATTTGTATTGAAAAATGTAAAAATTTTCGTTTGCGTGTAATTTAAATCTCGCATTCTATTGTAATATGTATTTGTAATATGTCGCGCCATGTATAGCATATATGATTCGTATTAGTAATATGTATAATATATTGCATATAGATTTCAAAATATGTATTCTCTCCGTTCCAAGCTACGAATCTGAACCTAGACATAATGAAATTTGTTAAAAATATTATAATCCTAGTTAAGATTATTATATAAGGAAATTTCAAAAATAGCCGTGGAATGCAGTCAAAAAATTGGTGTTGTAAAAATATATATCTTCTTACCTTATCGTCAAAATTCGAATTTGAAGAGAAATTTTCCTCGTCATTGACCTCGTCATTGTAACTGTTGACGTCGGGCTCATTGTACTCGTTACTATCATCTCTCGAATCAGCGGAATATTCTTCTACAACAATAAAATTATATTTAAAAAAATAATTTACACAATGTGTGAAAAAACATCTTTCATTTCCTCTCTCTCTCCATCCCCCTCCCCCTTTTTCTCACCCTCAACTTGTAAAAAAGACATACCAGACATAACAGACATGTGCATGCCATCAATAATGTATGTACGTGTGATTTGTTCATTCGAATAGGTATCAACGATGTCGATGACAAGTGGATTGTTCGTGATGCGAACTGATACCATTTTTTCGCTAATTTTCTACGCAATTTTATTTTTGTAATGTTAAATTTGCAAATGCATGAATGTAACGTTTCATATACAAAGTGCTTCACATAAAAGTATTACAAAGTGCTTTACATAAAATATTATAAGGTATTTTTTCTAAAATTTGATATTATATAAAAAATTGTTTTAGATAAAATTTATAAAATGAGAGGAAAAAAGTTGAAAGTTTAAAATTCAACTTGAATTTTAACAAAGATTGCGCAGATCAGATTAATTTATTAATCACAACAATCTCTTATATTTGTGCATGACACAATATAGGATTCTTCTAAAATATTTTTTTTTTTATTATTTGTAAAATATTTTGTGATGTTCGCCCACAAAATTTATATATTAATTTTTATATATTAATTTTATTATATATATTATACCTAAATCGTTAATATGCCTCATATGACAAGATATATACTCAAGAGATTCTATTTCAAAGTCCTAAAGATATTTGCAGGATGTCTGGAAATCGTATAACTCTTGAAACGTCTACAATACATCCTGAATTGGTCCAGAATATATCGTTGAGGTACTTTATATGCTATTTTCAGAATTAATTTAGGTTAGATTCATTTTTCCCATATTTTATATCGCGTTGCTTGATTTGGCAGTTTATATGTTTGTACTCAAACAGCACCAAGTCAACTGTTAGTTGATTGTCAGTCGGCAGAAAAAGTCTAAAGTCGACTTCAAAGTCAGATTGAATGTCAACTTAAAGTCGACTAACAGAGAAATGACTGGACTATAGTCAAATGTCAATTAGCTAATAAATCGACTTAGAAGTCAACTTTATGTGGCGATTATAAGTCAATTTTAATCAATTTTTAGTCAATTTTCGGTCAATTTAATGTCATGTCCATTAACTACTAAATTTTTATTTTAATGTCATTTCTCAAAAATTTGATCGAATGTTCTATGTATATAAATACACATATGATGGAATTTACAAAAAATTAACCGCAGTTAATTATATGGATACTCTAGAGCTCCTTGCAAAAGCTAGAGATACGACTATAATAGCTGAAGCTCATGAAAGTATATGAATATTTCTATTTATCTATTGGATATCTTTGGTAGCTACTTAGTGAATATACACAAAAAAACAGGCCACAATAATAAACGTCGACTTAAAAAGACTTCAAGTTGACTAAAAAATGTCGACTATCAATCGGCAAATAGCCATTCATACTGTATAGATATATGCAACGCATATATAATTTTTAAAATTTCTTCTTAAATAATCTGAAAGCATATACTGGATATAATCTAAATTAATCCTTCAAATAACATATATATAGTATCAATTACATATTTTCTGAACTAATTTGGGATACAATGAGGAATACAAAAGGATCCTTAAAATATCTCTTACAGTTCTGAAGGGCTCCCTTAATCCAAAAAATATCCTGAGCTGTTTGGCTTTATACCATATCTTGAATAAATCCCGCGTATATCCCAAGGATATTTAGAATATATTCAGAATTATCCTTAGGATATCTTATATTGTTTGGGAAGGAGAGTACATGACATCCGGGTCATTGATTTTAATAAAACTTTGTGAGTGTATAATATTTATAATACCTAACTAATTTATGTAAAACGCATTATTCAATCGTTTCAGAGAAAAAAGACGTTTAAAGTTTCGCGAGCACCCTATAAGGCCGTGAAATAACAGAAATTTTAAGTTGATGTCATATATTCTCCTTAATTGTTAGATCTAGCGTTAAGTCAATTTCGATTTTTGCACGATTTGATTTTAATTTTAATTGATTTTAACTTGTTTTTTCAATGTCAATCCATCTGAAATTAATTTTAATTATAACCTCGATGTGACTTTAATTTTTTAGTGGCAAAATATTTCTATTCTATCCCAAAGGATTTAGTAAATTTCTTTAATTACATATATATATTGTAATGTCTAAGAAATGATTTAGAATGAATAATAAATAATGAAATATTTTAAAAAACATTCAATAAATATGTTAATTTTATCATATTTTATTATATTTTATATTATTTTTTATATTATATTTTATATTTTTATATTTTTTTATATTGCTCAAAGTTTACTAACGTTATGAAATCCTTCTCAAATTACGTGCAACGCACGAAAGGCAAGACCTCGTGCCTGCCGCCACACGAGTCCACAAGAGTCATTGTTAATGAGACAAAATTAAAGCGATCGATTGTTGATCCTTGTCTAACTTATCTTGTTGGAGACTCATTTTTAATTCAGATAGTAGTATATCGGAGTAGTCCGGAACTATATCATGGACGTGAACCATGTATTGCGTCTGTTATCGAGCGTAACGACGTAGTTTATGTCCACTTTCTCAGGGGACGCATGAAGACATGCGTCCGCTGAAGCGGGATGGCCGCTCTCAGGTTTCTCTTTAACGAACCTGATACGGAATGCACTTTGCGCGCGCGCTCTTTTTGCGTAATTAATTATAAGGTCATATAGATATACATTATACAATTATAATTCTTATTCATCAGTTTTTATTTTTTTTAAATACTTAAACAGCTAAACTTATTAACATTTATTTGTTAATAAGTTTTCAATAAATACCCACACGGAACGTGACAGCCATTGGAGATCCATATAATCTCCATACCTCCTATATTAATTTATAATATATGTTAATTATTATATAAATTGAAAAGAATTAGGCTCTTTATGTATTTTAACAACATGATAAGAAACTAGCGATTAAGAGCCACTGCGGATGCGTAAATTGTTCTTAAAGATTAATTGTTCGCGAAAATTTATTTTTTTAAATTTTTCTCAAAAATGAGGATTTATATCTTGATAAATGCATCAAGTAATATGCATATGCCTCGTACATGTTTAAATTTTTACGAACAATTAATCTTTAAGAAAAATTTACGCACTACCATTCGCAATGGCTCTTAATCGCTAGTTTCTTATCGTGTTGTTAATTATTATATTAAAATAGAAAACCTTTAATTTTTTATTATAATTAAAACTAAAGATAGCTAAATTTATTATACATAATTGTATTTCGTAAAATTATGGTAGCTCTTGTTAATATAATTATTTTTATAAAAATAAATAAAATACATTAAACAATTTTTATCTAAACAAATTATGATTTTTATTAATTATTTTTCCTAATATTTATAAATATTATTTTTTATTACTTTATCTTATATCTTACTAATAATAATAATAATAATAATAACTAATAATAATTATAGTCAGTGGAATAAATATAGTCAAAATATAGTCAAAATATAGTCAAAATTTCATTGTCAAAATCAGTAATCGCGCTGGTTCGTTTACCGCTATGATGCGCTTTTTTTCTCGTACTTAAGTTTTAGTCATGAGAATTATATAAAGCTTGCAAAAAGCAACAGATAAAATTAAAAGTTTTTCTTCGATCTAATTTCTGATACAATTTCAATAGAGGATTTCAACTTCACATACAATTTCAACTTCAGATATTAAATCGATTTTATAAGTTGGACAAGTAAATGTTCGGTTAATAAACGAAAATGATCTGTTCATTATCTATTTAAGATGCTCAATACACACCTAAATATAAATAAAATTTCTAATTTTATACGAAATATATAAATTATAATCTAATATTATTGATTAAAATAGTCAATACTAATATTTTTAGTGAAATATTAGTTATTACAGAGTGTATATGAATGCATTATTTTATTAATTTTATGAGAAAGCAAACATTTAAGGAATAAAAGAAGAAAATGTATTTTATTTTGAACGGCTTTTAAACGCTTTTTTTGTATCAGAAAATAAACGTATCTTTTAACAACACGTTTAACATGTTTTTCAAGTGGACATTTTAACTAATCAGAAATGTTCTCAAGAATCGGTTATGAATATTTCAAAGAAATTTGTGATATTTGTGAAACGTTTTTGAAACAAATATGTGCTACCTGGAACTCTAATTAATATCTATATGATATCCGTATGATGTTTATAAACGAATTTATATAATCTCTATATGAGGTTCATGTGGCATCTATGAATACGTCTAATGGATGTCGAATAGAAGTCAGAAATACGGAATTCTGGATTTCTAATAGACGTCTATACATCCACAGAAAAGATTTCTAAATTTAATGCTATTACACTTCAATTTATCATAAAATAGGATCGATATAGCGACAATCATATTTTTCATTAAAAAAATAATATTTTAATCTTAAATAGAAAATTCTTAAATCTAGAATGAAATGATCTTGATACTATCTACAAAAGACGACCGACGCATATCAGTTTGGTGTGATGCCAACTACTGACGCTAGTATCAAATTATTCTAGGTGCAAGAATATATAACTTAGATTTCTTTATATTATTCTTCTTTCCAGATTATAAAGACAATCTTATTTATTTCGAGAAAGAAGAATAAGAATTATTATTTTAGAATTGTTTTATTTTTATGCTACATAAGATTGTGACTGGATTAAATGTGTCAAGAATATTTTTCGTCTTATTATCAGAAATCCTTTCTGAGAGGCTAGGAGGTTACATGGACGTTTAATAAAGATTTTGAATCTCCATGATGGACGTCTAATGGACATCCATTAGAGGTTTTTATTCCGTGTAGGTAATGAGTAATATCAAAACGAATATGAAGATATGAGTCATAACTTGAACATAAAATGATCAAAATAATTGAAAAAGCATATATTAATAAATGTATATAATGTATATAACGTTTATAACGTTTGTATGTATATAACGTTTTTTATTCACAAGTGTTACGTCCGGTGGACTCCACGATTCTTTTGTTTCTTCAAAATGATACCGTGAAAGAAAAATCAAGGATCGGCTTGCATTTGAAGCACAAAGCAATTCTTCTTCGAATAATGATAGCGCATAGAAAAATGGAACCTAACCCGCATATATAATCATTTAAACCTAATACTGAGAAGGGCCAGACGAGATAGCGTTAACGGAACTCTAAATAAATTCGTGAATTATAAGACGAAAGGTTATTATTCCAACTGTCCCGTATCTATTGGTACGAGTTATGTTCGAAGCCTCTCTATCTAAAGAACTTTTAAAATAAAGATCTGGTTTTCGGGAAGATTGTCAAAATCTAAACATACAGCAATATTCTTGAAATTGATAGTGCACGTACGCTCGTTTGACAGGCCACTCTCAAGCGTTCTCCGAATCACCGAATCATTAAACGATAAGATAATCAGCTCACTCCCACTCTCTACTGGATGGAGCTAAGTCTCGAGCCAAAGGGCTTAACCAATAAAAATCTTAAAAAACGCCTCTCCTCCCAAAAATCAGCCTCTTTGTTCTTAAGAAGGAAGTATTGAAATTATTACAAAAAAACTCCCACCATCCAGTAAGGAAGAGGAGCAATAACTTTAAAAAATGCAAGCGCAAGGCGCGAGCGTTCACTAATAAGCATTAACTAGCACTATAAGCAGTACAGTTGACAGTTCCAGTCAAGATTCAGTCATTCAATTTTAAAATTATATAGCCTCGGGGATCCTTTTCTTGCATTATGCAATTAAGTTATTAATTTGTTTTATATCACAGTGAAAATGATTTTGTTAACATTTAATTGTGCATCATGTGAAATTTCTGATGAACATCTCCATTACTCGGTTCTTCATGTTATAAACCTCCGATTTCAGCCATTGCAATTTTATCAACGCACTTATTTTTATGATCCCAACGAGTTGTGAATAAATTTGAATAATTTTTATTTTCTCTCTTTCCCATATCTTACTATCTCATAATTTAAAATCTATGTCTGATAATATGACAAATAATTTTAAACAGTTAATAATCATTAAATTTTTAATAATTACTATCAGAGGACCTGTGTGGTCTTGCACGCTGTGTCGCGGACTCGCCGTGGGCGAGAAGTAGAGTGGCACGGGTTCGAGACCACACAGGTCCCAGTGGGAAATGGAGGGAGTAGGGTGATGAGAGAGAGGGAGTTAACTTAGAAATGGGTGAATCCGATGCGTGTAAATGATAAACTGAGAATAAGGGTACGAGAACACAGCAGTGAGATCAATGTGCTCAGCGTTGATGGAGAGAAGAAAAGGCACGGGTTTGCGGTCGATAAAGAAGAGAGAGGATGTTGGGTAACCTAAAAATGCAAGGGTTTGAGAATAATCGACGCGTGTAAGTGATAAAATGAGAAAGAGGGTTCGAGATTGCAGCCGTGAGATCGATGCGCGCAGCGTTAATTGAGAGAGGACAGGATACGAGATTGTGAACGAGACGAAGAGTGAAGAGGAAGTTGGAGGAATGGGGAGGTTGAGTAGAAGAACGAAAAAGAAAAAAGAAGAGAGGGGAAAAAGGAATAACGGGAACAAGAAGGAAGCGGAGACAGGGAAGAAGGGATAAAGGGACAAAAGAGGCGCAGGATCAAAAAGGGGAAAAGAAGGAATGGGAGGAGAAGAATAAAAAGGGAAAGGAGCAAAAGTGCAAAGTAGGGTTTAAGTTAAGAAAAGGAGTAGGGTTAAGAAATGAAGAGAGATGTAACCAAGCTCTCTGGTTATATAGAGATATGTTAGTGTAAGCTGTATTGTATGAGATTGTAACCCCAAGGGGATAAAAGCACCATTTACCATTTACTAATTACTACCAATCAATCAATCCTTGTCTCACCTCTCCTCCAGTCTTATTCCTAGTTCTTCCTAATTCGCCTAGAATCTCCGCAAGGCGGTTCGCGAATAATTTACCTGTTCGTCCAGAATCTCCGTAAGGCGATTCGCGAACGATTCCTTAATTTTCATTTCCTTTTAGTTGCCTTTTCTGATTTATTTACCAAGAATTCGTATTGTTTTCTATTTTTATATTTCGTTTAAGCCTTTCTTTATATATTTAACTCTTCATTTCTATTTTTTTTCTTCACTCCCTTTCATTTTCTTTTAATTTCCCATTCCTTGCATTATTATTATTATTATTTTTTTTTCTCTTTCTTCCTCTTTATATTATTTTCCTTTGTATTATCACTACTTTGAGAGAAATCAGTGAAATAGATGAATAATTTTCGAACTTAGATTTGGCGAATCTTTTATCTTAATTTTATTATTGTATTTTAATTTGGACCTGTGTTTTGCCGAATTTAGAAAATTTTAATTCTAACTATAACACATACCCGAGAATATATACATACACGCACACATACTCACTCATGCATAACTACAACTGCTAAGATGTATTTTTCTTTCGTTATTTTTTTTATATAATATATGTATTTTTTAATTTAATGTAGAATTTAATTATTTAACCCGTTCTCTTCCCTAAACCCTGAGATCGCATTAGGTCCTATCCCGCGTAACAAGGATTAAATTCCTTTATCGAAATGGGACCACCGAACGAATAGGCGTAAAAACGCAGAGTTAAAGAGACCTTCGGTTGCTGACCTGTGTCAGGCCCTTCACATTCTTTCGACCCGATCCATGCACACGCCCGAATAAAGTGTGTCACGGGGTAAGTAAGTTATGTTCTTCCATACAGCCTATCCTTTCAAGGTCTGGACGTAACACAAGGATAATTTGTTATTTTTAACTTTTATCAGTGCATATGTATAAAATTAAATCTTGTGCTTACATTTAGTATACCTATATCAAATAGATAATATTCTTATCTATTAGATCGAATAAATTTTACACATAAAATCACATTTTCGACGCAAAACTGCGATTAATTGTGCTGAAAGATATTATATACGTATGCATGAAGAAAACTTACTAGCAATTTCAGGCGATTGATTTTTTCCTAGACCGCCGTTGTTGATCTTTTGCGTTGCGTTACTGCTCTCAAGAAAGCAAATTAACTCTTCTAGGGCATCTCTTAATTTTGTATTCTTTGTTTCATTTCGTAGACCCCAGATCCATGTAAGTTTGCAGTCGCAGGTCAAGTCATTGTCTGTAAGAAGATAACAATGTGATTATAGCGATCTTATGACAAAAAGCAATCAGATGCGATAAACCTATGTGAAGTAGTCCCGCACATTCTGAATTTTATATTTTTATTAATTTGTGCTGCATTTGTGCTACGTTTGTGCTGATTTGTGCCGCAAATCGTAGCTTAATAATTTAAACCATTTTGTAGAAAATTAAAAAAAACGAAATTTGTGGCAGTCCCGCAATTTTCGAATTTTGAATTTTTATTGATTGCGCTGTATTGTGTTACGTTTGTGCTAATGTGTGCCGCAAACCGCAATAACTTGAACTATATTCGAGAAAATTAAAAAAAAAGTTACTAGCCCCGCACTTTGTCCCAATCAAGTTCAATTTTTTTTAATAAATTGACATAAGTTTGTACCGTATCGTGCCGTTAAGCAAACTTTGTTATCTTATTTCATTTAGCTAAAAAAAATTCGTAAAGTTAAAAACAATTATAATACATAAATAATTTTTTATAGCATTAATTGAATTTCTATCAATTGTATTATATTGTCTTCATAATTAGAAAGGATAAATAGATAAAAAAATATAAGTAATTATAAAGTTTGATTAAATATTTAATAAAAAGAAGTAAAGGGGTAAAAAAAAATTTAACATTTTTTATTTTTTTTCTCTTGTGCCAGATTGTGCTAGACGAGTACAACAACTTTTCCTAATGACAAAATGTCATCAGATCATTAGTTTTCTTTTGTTGTGGAATAGAAATTAGAAACGAATTTTTAAGAATACAAAATTTTACATGCATCTATTTTTCAAACTATAACAGATAATCTGATTCTGCAAGTTGTGTTCTATTGTGCTACCAAAGACGAAGAAATAACAAGCAAAAGATGCATTAACAATCCTAGAGATTGATTAAATATCGATTAAAAGGTGGAGGTGAAAAAAATTTAATTTAAAAAATTTTTTTCACTTGTGCCAGATTGTGCTTTACAAACTTTACGAATTTTTTTTAGCTAAATGGAATAAGATAACAAAGTTTGCTTAATACGGCACAAACTTATGCCAATTTATTAAAAGAAATTGAACTCGATTAGGACAAAGTGCGGGGCTAGTAATTTTTTTTTCTCTCGAATATGGTTCAAATTATTGAGTTGCGGTTTGCGGTACATATTACCATATTGGCCATTTTGTCATTCCTGAGTGTGCTAAACTCTAGCCCTGTCATTCGTGATTTTTAAACTTTTCCTATTTAAAAACTATTATAGCCTTGAAATTTTCATATTAGAATTTTTGTCTTAACCTTTTCGTACCTCCGGGATATACATATATGTCCCACCTACGAAAAAATTCATAATTTTTAAACAAATAATCCTATCTACTTCTACTGGCTTGTTTTAAAGAAGAAGGTTCAAGCTATATGTAAAAAAATCGCGCACTTTGAAATGTAATGTTTACAATACAATATAATTATCTAACTTTGTAAAAAATCAAACTTTTAGAGAATGAAAATTAACCGCATATTAATCGAAAGTCATAAAATTTATGTGTTCATTATAAACTTAAAGTTTTATTTAAATGTGATTACAACTTTATTATGATAAATGTTATAATAATTTATATGTGTAATCAAAGTAAGACGACGCGTGCGACGGGCATCCAAGTCTCGCGGCAGATGTGCAGCTTGCAAAAAAAATGTATAACAACGTTATGAGTTCAACGTGTGTATGTATATTCAGGAAAAAACATAATATATATTTAAAAAAAAAGCTTATATTTTAAATATATTGATATTTAAGCTTTTCATTGTCGCCATCTTGATCTGCCATTTTGAATTTAAATTTTGAAATAAATTTGGTAAATTTGGAATCAACACCCCCAAAAAATCTGTAAAACTGTCTTTATATGAAACACATCTCTTTTGAGAAAGCCGGAGGTATGAAAGGGTTAAAATGTTACAAAGATTATATTTATCGCAAATTAGGTTCTGATAAAGAATCTCAAGATTGTGGCAATGCTCGGGAGCAAGTAGAATAGAGCGCAGTAAACTGAACAGAAAAATCTTTTATCATTTTGTAATTTTCCAAATTCCAAAAATTTAAGTGTTTATCCTTTTTATATTCAATTTATTCTCAATATTAATCAAGCAAACATAATATTTATTTACTAATTCATAAACTACAATATTTATAAAGTAAACATAATTTTAACAATTTTAAAGAATAACTTATTCTCTTTTTTAGAGAATAATTTACTTTTCAAAATAGAATAAATTATATTTTAGACAATTATTAAAATTGTATATATTTATTTTATAAATATTATATTTATTAGCAACTAATATAATGACAATATTATGAAGTAATATTTTATTATCTAGATCTAGAACTAATGTAATATTTTATCCAACATATGTATATTTAATTTAATATATATTTTTTTAAATTAATGACAGTAGTGTTCACAAGAAATTTGTGGAGTAAAAAAAAAAATATGTAATGTATTTTACGATAACGTGAAATATTAATACATTCTTGTTACAATATTTCCCAAGTTTTATGCATAAATATAATAAATATAATAAATATAATAAATATAATAAATAGTACACTATTTTATCATATAACTTAATAGTATATTATTTTTTCATGCAGAAATTAATTGTTGTATAATTACGAGATAAACGCTCCGATTACTTACGTTCCCAATTGCCAATCGCTTCATTTGCACACATTTTTCTGACAGCTTCATATTACACGCATGACATTATTGCACACATAAAATAAGAAAATCATACTAACACTTTATACAATTTTATTGCACATATACACATTGCACAGATGACGTTAACACACACCGAATAACATTTTAAAGAATAAAAATAAAAATAGATGTTTTGCACATATGATTTATAGCACATGCAGATACTTGCACACATAATATTGAACACATTACTTACATAAAATAAGAAAATGGCTTTGCATAATTAAAATCTACGACTAAAAATGCAGACTGATAGATTCCTTAGAATTCTATTGTAGAATCTTTAATCAATCTGAAGACTTCCATATGCAAAGCATTCTGAATTTGATGAACTTTTACAAGCATTATAATACATGCTAAATAATATCGAATGCCACAAGAGCGAATATGCGGAAGTGTTTACTTTTGAGATATTTAAATTTTAATTGTCTGCCTAAATGAACAATTTTTAAGCTTTCCATATAGAACAAACATTAGAATTCAAAAATATTTTGAATCTAGGACTATGACTTTGGAAATAAGAATGCAACGTGCAATAACGTATACAATCGTACTTTCATATAACCGTATTTTATATTTTCATTTCTTTTTGTGCGCAATAATACAAACAATCGGGATATAGGCAATCAAGAATATAGGCAAAGAAAGCGTCGGCAGAGTGTTGTGCCCAAACGAAGTGATTGATTGGCATTCGGAAATATAGACAAACGGGACTGCCTTCATAATCGCACACATGTATATATAAATATATATTATAAAAATTATAAAATATGTACATTATTTATTAAATTATAAATTATTATGCATAAATATAGAAATTGTTATATAAATATATAAATTCTAATACGTAAATTATTTATTAATTTATGCTCTATGAGATAGTGAAAGAGGAACTATTGTCATAAGTAGTGAGCGTATATGGCAGATATAGATAAAGCATTTAGCGATATAGAGATATTTCTAGCTTATTTCTTGAAAAAAATGCATTTTTGGAACACAATTATATCATATATATTTGAATTTAGTGTTAAATATGTCTTAAAATTTATTAAGACAAATTTTAAAATTTTAAAAAGAGGGTGAACGAGTGGATTTCGAAAAATATGATATTTTTGAAAAATTTGTGTGATTACACTGTTATAAAATACATAAAAAAACCATAAAACTTTTATTTGAAACCTTTTTTTATTTTTTATCGGTTTGATGATATCCATTCAAAAATATAAAAATCGATTTCTTTCAAGAGAATATTTCACCATTTAACGAACATCTAGACACATATAATATATTTGTCTTATTGTGACTTAGATTATAATATATTAGAAATTTATCAAACTCGGAAAAGGATATTTTCGAAGAATCTTTCCTTAAACATAATTAGACTTCAAAAAAAATTTTTTGGCCAAGAGAATATCTATCCAACATCTGGGCTATTAGTCTAGCTAATTTTAAAAGAAGAAATTAAATATCCTAAGCAATAAATTGATACTATCCGATTGTAGAAATCTAAAATAGAATGAAGATTTTTAGAAATTTCTATCGTCAATTTTTTCTTGCAGATGTCTAGACACTATTCTACACATTTATGTACGATTCTAAAAAAGGACGATTTTAAAAGGACAATCTGTTCATGCTGTATTCACCAGTTTTATATTTTCAAATACGTTGTCTCAGGATAAGACAACGTATTTGAAAATATAAAACTGGTGAATACAGCATTTCTAACACAAGAAAAATGCGCTATTGATACTCATCGATGCATTTATTCTTGCAATAATAGCTGTTCTTGAACAAAAATGCGACTAAAAACAGCCATTTGGCTTTTATTTTACATAAATTCACCTATATGCAAGTTAATTATAACGTACAACCGAGAGTTATTAACAATTTATGAGCAATACAATTTTTCAGATATATGGTTGAAAAACGTAATCTGACAACTTGTCGCATCGATTAAAAAATCATCAACTTATGCACTGCAAGAAAAACTAAAAAAAAACTCTAACAACAGCAATGGCTCCATTTCGGTTAATTTCCGATCTAGATTAAATACATTTCGGGCAAAAGCAATAGTGTTGTCAATTCTTTATCAAGAATGAACACAATTGAGCCAATTATTGTAAACATCGACCATTTAGAAAAACAATTTAAAGACAATGAGTTAAAATAATTATTAAGCGGACAAACCTCATTTAATTAAAAAAGAAAACTATAATTCGATGAATCTGATATAACAATCTATTGTAATGTTTCCAA